GCAGGCTTTTCCCCTCCTGCTGTTTTAAATACAATTTTAATCTTTTGATTAAGATATGAGGAATTTTTTTTATACGGTGTCATGTACTTGTCAGACATTTGTAGAGGATATAATGGGAATTTACACAAAAAGATGAAATAAGAGAATGGGTATAGTGGGAAATTCCTTGAAATGTTAGGCAGGTTGAAAGATTTTAAATAAAGTGGTTAAATGTTGACTTTAGTCCTCTTTAAAAATACTAAATAAGAAACAGATAGAAAGTAAAAATTAATTATTTTTATCCCATTATCACTGCTAATCATTTAATCATAATTGCTAACTTGAGCCTTTGCAAAAGGTTAGAGCCATATACTTTATCAATACATATTGATTTAAACATTTGGTAGTTTCGCATGAGTTTATTCCATATGCTTTATATTTCATACTGTGCTTGAGGATGCTGAATGATTCAGCTTGTATATGTGATGCTATGTAGATTACTTAATAGCTACACTTCTTGTCCATTTCATTGCTGTTTTTTAATAGAAATGGAAATTACAGTATATAAAAAAGGATTTTGAAATTGTTCAACTAAATTCGCTATTACATATAATGGTAAGAAAAATAAATCTTTATATTTAAAAGCTCGTTTGTTAAAGAAAGCATAAATTATAATAAGTTATCTCAGCATTTCTACACATTAAAAGGAGGTAATTATTTTAGTCTTAGTCAGATCATAGTAAGAGTTTCGACACAGTAAGCACTGGTGTCTCACAGCTTATTAGAAATTTGTTTCAAGCACCTAAAATGTCCCCTGTTCAGAAGAGGCCTGACAGTTTTCTCCAAGGTAATGTTTATACACCTTGAATGTTTTAGAAAGACATTGTTTATAACATAGTAAGTTCAAAGCCTGTCCCCATTTTAAGTGGACTTATTTGGAGAGGAAGAGCATAACAATTATTTTACGTAATAAAACATGAAAGCATCAATTTCTGTCTGTTTTGATATGGTGCTTTCAAAGTAGACCAGCAGTTCTAATCATAGAGTAAAATGCTGTGGCATACTTTTATTTAAAATTTGGAAATTTTCAGTTTCTTAGAAATCCTGTTGATTAAACAATATTCTTTTGTTTCACATATCCGTATAACATTAAGTCTTGCCATTCTTTCTGACAACTTGTGTGCTTTTATGCTCCTGCCCATTCTGGGTGGACTGGGAACTGTGTTTTCCTGGTAGAGAATGATCTGAACTGATACAAAAGCAGTGCACAGATGTTGATAGACAGTACAATGAATCAAAACCTGGTTGTTAAATACTGACATTTTCATTAAGAAAATACTTGGCAGCTACCAACAGGGACTAGCCCTTTCTATTGAAATGAGATTGCTGAAAAACAGTGATAACTTCTGGTATGAAATGTTGGGGACTGAGATGAACCAAACAAGGACTAATGATCATATTAGGCTTGGTCATTTTTATTCTTCTTCTGGAAGGCCAAGTTAAAATAACTTGGTATAAAATAACAATGGTGACTGCTGTGGGGTATATTGACCACAGGAGAATGAGCTGTGGTGTTCCTGACCAATAGTTCCAAGAACACTCATTCAGAACATTCAGAATCTGGATGTTCATTCATATTCCTGATCTCACTCATTCAGTACTGGTGCAGCACATCATGATGGGTTTTCATCCTGTGTTATTGTAAAATGATATAAAATTATCAACTTACATAAGTGTGCAATATGATACTGCATATAACAAATATTTCTGTATTTATCATTTGTCTAAATTGAAGGGTGTTTAGGTCGTTGCAAATGCAAATTTTCAGTACCTTCACTGTCTGAAAGATGCTCTTTGAAGCTCTGACAAACTGTTTTTCATTCATATATGCTGTCGTTTGTCTCCAGAGTAAGAGCAGTCCTCCTTTTTTCCACTTCCAGGACATCATTTAACATGTATGATTTATTCAGATTACCAGAGCATAAGTGTCATTTTCAAGCTATGGTCCATGTTTCTTAAGTTCAAAGTGGTTTAATTCTTTGCTAACATTGCAAGAAGTGATTTATCACGAAGTATGTAGACAAGACCTGTTTCTTCTTAACTAAAACCAAGCCAAGCTCTAACCTATAACTGTACAGTTTTTCTTTTTAAACACTGAGGGCAGAACTGTTATCTGGAAGTTCTGTAGTGGTGTTCACTCAGCACAGAAGATTTAAATTTATTCTTGTCACAGTAAGCACTGTGTGCAGAGGATGCTGGTTTCTTCCAAATCCTCTCGCAGCCGAATGCCCAGTTCTGATTATGAGGACAACTGTCTTGTTCTGACTGAGTCCTTTGCATTTTCTTCACACAAACCACTCTGAAACTATGTACTACATCACAGTTAAGGCAGTCTAATTCACCTATAATGCAGTAAGTGAACAAAACCTCGATTTTTCCTGATTTTCATAGTGTTACATTTTCAGTGAAATATTTTCATATGTTCTTATCTGGTTTTCAGTCGCATATAACAAAGATGTTTGCTTTCTCATTAAAATTTCAAAATTAGTGTTGTTTACCAGTATGTTGTCTTTGAGTCCTGTTTGTGAGATCTTCAACTTCATTACCTTTCATTTATAAAGGAATGATGTTCAGCGTTTCTTCAGCTTTTCTCATTATCAGTTCTCAAATTTCCATATACCAGGGCCATCAGTTCAAGTACATTTAGGTTTTTTCTGATGTGTAAACTGCAACATAAGGAAGCAATATAGTGTCGTTACTGGTGGGAAGTAACATGGTTTTCTCTCCATGGTTTTTGTTGCCATTTCACAAAAAAAAATACCCATCTCCAAACTATCCCTCCCTTCCATGTTTTCTCAGTGAAGGCCTCATGTTATCATTTTCCAAAACTTCATAAAGAGGAAGCACTCTTTGCTCTTGGAGTGCTTACAAAAGCCCCGAAATACAGCCCTGTTAGAGGTTCACACGTTTCTCTAAGCTACCCATGCTCAAAAACCTATTTACCACCAGGCAGTGCAGAAACATCTAGGTTAGGCAAGTCCAGACTAAAAGCGAAGTAAAACCTGTGTACGGAAGTAGAATATTTGGCACCGTTTCTCCTGTTAATTTGCTGCATGGCAATGCTGGAACAGTTGGAAAGGTGGCCAGTTGTGGTAGGTTTTCTATTTACTGATTGTCTTTGAAGAGGTGAAATTAAATGAGCATGGTTTCAGCATAGCCAAAAGGAAGAGGAGTTATATGGCTGCTTTTGATGAATATATCGGGATTAAACAGCAGAATAGGAAGCAAGTACTTTAAATTCAAGAACCATGTTGAAATAAACCATAATAGGAACTGAAAGTTAGGAGATTGTTTCCAAGTCAGAGGTGTGTGTGTCTGTAATAGCTTTTCTGTGGGCCCTATGGGAGCTAACAACCAAACTACTTCAGAGTTGAAGCTTGACGGCTTTATAATAGGGTTGATAAGATGTGGTTGCCTGTGATAGTAGAGGCTATTCCAGTAAATCAAGAGGTTGCTTGTAAGTTCATGTTTATCACTTTTCTTTTTTCCCCCTCACCTTCAATGTATTTGTGAGGTTTTGTTCTGTGATTCGCCCCTTCCGCCCTCATCATACTGTGGTTTTGCAGCTAGCTTTCTTTTTGTAGGTCTAGTTTGTTTCTCATTTTGATTGCTGTGAAACTCGCACTGCCAGTTTTGGACAAGCTTGATAATACAAATGGAATTTCAGGAACTTGCATGCAGTACCTCATCCATTGGTGGAGACATTTTTTGTCTTCCTCACTGAGAAAAAAAAGTTAAAATTTATTTATATTTAAATAGGGCCTTAATGAGACTAAAGTACTTTACTGATCTGCATAGATAGTTTCTGTACAACTGTCTGCTTATGTAGCAGAAAAAGCATCTTTTGCTTTAACAGTGCAGATCTGAAGAACAGGAATTATTTAAATCATAGGTACAGGGTGGTACACCCAAGAGACTGAGTTCCTAACTCCAAATGTTGCTGTAAAATCATATGACTTTTTTCTTTCTTATAGAAACTTTAATTTTTTTAATGCACCTCTTTAGTTGTAGAATGCTTATTTTTTAATATATGCATAGTACATGTTTTTACCATAATAATGAGGAAAATAAATTTCTTGTAAGAATTTCTCATCACAGTATTTTTAAACACTTTCACAGCTATTGTGTACATCTACATAAAGAGATCATAGTAAGTACTTTCAGTTGTGCTTTCTATTACATAAATTAATGACGTGACTGATGCTGTAGTATTATGGAGGGCTGTGCTCTGATGCTTCCCAAACAAAATCTGGTTGGAGTTTTGTTGGACAACTTGAAGACAAACCCTCATATAAAAGTAAAGAACACAAAGTAACCTTTAGCTGGGAAGAGACACAAAATTCTGAGGGAATGCTGTTACCTCTAAAGCTTGTCTCTCCTGTTAGGTCACTGGAGAGCCCTTCCCCATAAAATCGCAGTTTGGTCCATATGCTTTTGGTTATTTAGTTCAGTGTACATATTTATGCATGTTCATGCACACAATTATATAAACGTACAACGGTAAAAAAAAAAAGTAGTATTCTGTGGAAGTTGTTATACCTTATATTTTTTTACTGGTTTTATATTTTAGTGTCAAAGACTCCTACAAATGTTAACAAGCGCTGTGTCTGTAGCAAACTGAGGTTTGTAAACAGGAGGAAGAGGAGTAGAGTATTATACACTTGTATGCTGGCCCAGAACTTTTTTCTAAGTATGAAAACTGCATTTCCAGACCAGCAAATACTTCTGGCAATGGCGTATGTCCTATTTCTAGTGGTCTCAAGTAATTTAGAATTATTCTTCATAACATTATAATGTAGTCACAATTATTATAATTTTACATATTGAAAAACTGAAGGAGAAAATTGTTGACTTAGCCAAGGTTACACTGGTAGCAGTTACCCAGTCCAGGATTAGATCCCCTTTATTTTGACTTGGTAGACACTGATCTGCCTAGCAGACTAAGATGAATGCTGTTGTCTCCTGGTATAACCAGGACAGTTTTGAGATTATACTGCTTGGATTAGTTTGAAAGAATTAGAAAACATGGAAAGTTGATAGAACTGATATTATATTAGTCTTTAGTGAAGTTCATAGGTTAAAAACTATTCCTATTGAACATGTGTCTGAGCTGATTTCTCTGTATGTACAGTATGCATACCTGACTGTGCTTTTGTTTAGATATGGGACAGATGTGTCTTTTTGTCAGAAGTGTGTATTAACATTTAATTTCACATAATTAAATACATGTTTTATGGTTGTCTCCTTCCAAAGCAAATTTACTCCTTCATTTAGATTTGTGTGTATCCCTGTTAATGCCAATTAATAGCAGAATATAATGTTGATTTCCACTCCCCCCCCCCCCCTCCCCCCCCCAAAGTTGATATTATAAAAAGAACATTTTTGGTGTGAGAGCAGAGATGAATTTGAATTCATTTGAAATGGCTTATTGTTTTTTTGAATTGGAAGTATAATGGGAGAAGGAATTTTAAAAAACAGCTCTTATCCATAGATATAACTTTTAAGTTTTCATTACCGTATTTTTAGATGACATCTGCATTTGACTTTGCATAAGATCAGTATTTTCTGCAAATAAGAACAAAAACTGTTGGCTTCCATCTTAGTTTTGTCATGGAGTATGTTAGTAGCATCACCATGGCATCTCCTCACTTCTGAAGTTCTGACTGCAATTTTGTGCTTTTTCAAAAGCAGACATTTTTTTCAGCTGTGTTGAAAGTTTGTTTATACGTCTCCAGCTTCTGTATCTTTGTCTCTTAACTATTTTTTTCAGATTTAAAACCCACTCCCTTAGAAATTACATATTAAAATTAATTTTCATAACAGACACTTCTTCTAAATCCCTGCTACTGAAGAGTGCTCTAATTGGAATTAATTCATCAGCATGTTATTGTAAAGATAAAAGTGCAGCAGCAATTACAATAACGAATAGATTACAGATCAGTGGGCACCATTAAAAATGAGGATACGGAAGGATGCAAATGTTTGAAAAAGGGTGCATCTTTCTTGAGGATTAAATCCTAATTTAAGATCTCGGTTTTAAAATTTTAAATACTGTCAGGGAAAAAAAAAAAACAAACAGCTATAAGGAAGTCTTGCTTGGTCTTTTGCGTAGTTGCTTAAAACATCATACATTTGAGGGTTTTCTTTAGGTGTCTGTTGTGTTTCTTAACCTTTGAATTTTCTTTTAAACCTGAACACTTTAATATGTTTCTTGTTCTACTTCTGTGACTGTGCTTTTAAATAGAAAATCTTCCACTTTGCAGGCAATGCTCAGAGTGTGACCAGGCAGGTAGCAGTGACATGGAGGCTGATATCGCCATGGAAACCTTACCAGATGGGACCAAACGATCAAGGAGGCAGATTAAGGAGCCAGTGAAATTTGTTCCTCAGGATGTGCCACCGGAACCGAAGAAAATTCCAATCAGAAACACGGTAAATGATGGTTGGATTGTTGTTATGCTGTTCCTATTCATAATAATTTTGTTTTAAGATGGCTTATGTTTTGGACATTCTGAATTGTGGGATTTCAATTTGATTGTTGTTCTGTTTTTGTTATAAATTCCCTTTTTTCTATTTAACGCTTTTATTCCTTGCGTTAAATACATATTTTGCTACAGTAAAAAGGTGGGAAAAGCAGTACTGAACTGAAGAGCTGGAGAAGCTTTACCTTTTACCTGGGTCACAAAGTCTTCTGTTAATTGTGGAAAAGGGGAAAATTCAGTTTGAACTTAAACTTAGCCTTTACAGCTGTTCTTCAACTTAGTAGTAAGGACACTTTGTTCTTGTATGCTGGGATTTAAATATATCGAATTGCCAGTTACAATTGTAAAATAATTAGATGTTTCCCTGTGTACAGGCAACCTACTGACTGACTGCACAGTTTGTGATTATCACAGGACCCTGTTATTTCAGTTTGGTTAGCTTTCTAGTCTTACTAGTCATTGTATATTTTCTCAGACTTCCCTGCTGGATAGTTTTTAGAGAAGAGAAGCAAAAGCTCTTGCTTCCTGTACTGATGAAATATTTAGCATCTTTTCTTTCATTTGAAAGTAGAACTTTTTTTATTAATCACTGTATTTTGTTATGTCTCTGGTGCTCTAATCCTTAAAATGTTGCTCTCTTACTTGCTCATAAAACAAAGTATCGCATGTGTGATGTGTCATATCACATGTAAAATGTACATGGAAGTATTAAAGTGCTTTAGGTCCAGTTCAGGGAATGACTAGTGTTCCCGTGACCCTTTGGACATGAGCACTAATTATATATAAACTGGTGGTTCATTTTCCAATATACTTCCTAGTATGTAAACCAGCTCATGTTAAAGTTAGACATACTTGCATCTCTCATGCAACACAACTTTATATTCCTTACAGGGATTTCCAGACCTTTTATGTTTGTACTAGCAGATACCATACTTAACTATTCAGAGTATACACTGGTAGGATTAAACAAGTATTTTCCTGACCTAACCTTAAATGTTTGCTTTTAATTACATTTCAGAATATTTGGAATGTTTTACCTAGCAGCTTCCTTTTCTTGGGCTATGACTGAGAACTTTAAAAATTACTCAAGCCAAAACGATTAATTTAGCTCAAACGGTTAGGAATGTGAGTAATCCAAAATTTTGTGAAAAACTGAGAACGTTTGTGGGGGAGAAACTTTTTTTCTTTCTTTTTCTCACTGAGGGAAACTTCCCTCCTTTTCTGTGTGTAAGAACACGTAGGTAGCTGTCTGGGTAAGTTGAACTGACTGTTGTCATGCTATTATTCATGCAGAAAGAAGACTTATCTGGTGTTCCAGCTTACTGAACCGTTTGCATCTCCTCTCCCTTTTTCCTTCTTCCTCTCTCTCTCTTCCCTCTTTTTACACCAAATACCCAGTATTAAGGGGTGGGGAATCATGATTATGGGACTAAAGAGAATTGAAAGTATTGCAAGACATTCATATTAGTAATGGACAAAAGAGTGATATAAAGCATTGTACAGAAATCCATAGGAAGACAAAATCGATTTGTTCTAATGCCCATGTAATAACTGCCCAGTTCCTTCTGTGATAAATGGAGAGGTGTCTGATTACCCTGAAGTGTTCCTCTCATGCTGTGACACTGTGCTACATTGGTGATTTGGCACCTCATGTGTTAGAGAGTGTGTCCACACACATCGTGGGATGTAATGTAGAGATTAAATTTACTTTGAGTGGACTAGTAGGTTGGCATTTTACTTTGGAAGAATTAGTGCTACCTGTCTAAGAAATACTTTGTTTCTCTGCTTGAATTTTTAGGCTCTCTTTCAGTTCTCTCCAGTTCTATGCTTTTCTACAACATGTGTATTTGCAAGATAACTTTGACACAGGACAGCACAGATGCTATCCATGCTTTTAGCTTTCCCACAGCTGACTTTATTTTATTTTATTTTATTTTTTCTTACTGTATGCTACTTACCTATGGAAGAGAACGTTCACATCCTTGACACCTGCTGGATTTCTTTCTCTGGACTGGGCTGAATTCCTTCATTTCAACTCTTGCATGATCTTGGTGCACTTAGACCATATAACAAAATTAAGATAACAGACCTCTGAAGACTTAATAGATACTTCCTGGCAGTATGGGATTTCCATTCACCTTTGCTGTGAAACCTGAAAAGTTGGTGTTAGTTTTTCATGCTTGCTTGGTTGGTTTGGTTTTTTGAGGAAGAGACTACTTCTAATTCGTAAGGTCTTACGCTGTCTGTGTGTTTGAGGGGAAAAAACCTGACCTTTGAACAACTTCTCATATACTTGAGTCTGACTACCCAGAGAACATCTATGTGGTGCATTTCAACAGTGATGTCCAGGTACTACTTCTGTCCTTTGTGTGCTCACTTCTCAAATCCTTTAAAGTAGTTGAAAATAAAGAATAAAGGTTGAACAGTTTGAAAATATACTTACTGCACAGTCCTCTCTTTTCATTGTACTTTATATCTCTGGGCATGTTTTATTTGCTGTAGTTTTATTTTGGAAGGAATTGGCAAGCCTGCTTATCAAATAGTGTGCAGTCAGCTTTGCTTACAGTTATAATCAACAGGTGCAATTATAACACTGAGTTGTGGCTCTGTTGCTCTTAAGGGAATTTCCATTTGTATTATATACATTTATCTTGAATTGATATAATTGGAAGAATTTTTTTCTTGCTACATACCTAAGAGAACAGAATTCATCTTACATGTTTGGATTTCATTGTAGTGGTTTATCTGTCAACAAAGTAATGAAGAGTTAACTATGAAATTGTGGGTAAGCCCTAATACTTTATTTCAATAAAGTTACGTTAGGTGTTACCAGTGACAGTAAGAGCTGGCATCTATAAGACATTATATACAAATGCACATGATTAACTAAACCTATATACTAACTATGAGGAAAAAAAAAAATTCACGTTAAATTGTACTTTCAGAATTGATACTTTGCGATCAGTTTGTCCTGCAGCTCCTGTTTGGTAACATTGAATTCAGAGATGATTAAGGATACCCCCTTTCATGAAGAAAAAAAAAAAATTCCATATTTGTAGCATTTTTTTTTTCTAATTTCTGTCTGCTTGGAGTGTAATGTGAAGAGTAAAAGACCCTTTTAGAAGTATTCATCATTCTACCACTGTGTTTCAATCCCATCTAATTATGGATCTGCCCTTAAGTCCTGCAATTTTTATTTTTATTTTTTAAATCCATTGAAGCACCTGAATTCATTGATGTTGTGGGTTTTGTTTTAAAGGGCTAGGTTGTTTTTTAAAGAAGATGGTGGTGCTTTTTTTTCCGCTTTTAAATGTAGCATTACAATTTCCTTTTTTTTTTTTTTTTTTGCTTTATTACAAAAACTAGTAAGGACATCATATTTTCCTTCTGCATCCCTTCCTAATTCCCCTTCTTTCTTTTTATGAACTTAATGGGTTTTTTCAGATTTTTCTCATCTTACGTCTCTGAATTAGTTAGCCTTACATGTGTGTCAGGATACTCTTAGCGAAGGCTTAGTGAAATGCTTTGCATTATTTTGAATGGTCTAAGATTATTAGTTTTCAAAAACAATAATAAGAAGAAATACTGACAAAGAACCTACAAACTGTTTTTAGCAAGGGGCTTGTTTTGTATACCGCTTTTGTTTTACAAATAAATACTGTCACTTAGAATAAATTACTATTTCTTGCTGTTTTCCAAATAGGAGGTGATGATAGAGGGGTATTTTCTTTTTCTTCTTACCAAGCACATTAAAAGATAAAAAGGACTGTTAGCTTGTATTTAACTGCTGAAGTATTTCCACCGAAGTGCTTTTCAGAAATCTATTGTGTAGCTTAGTTATGTGATGTCATAGACACACATTTTTAACAAAACAGGAAAACATAACATCAGTTCCAATTTGAGTGTATGTATCAGTGCTTTGTAAAAATAGCAAATAATTTAAAAACACTTATCTATACTTATGAATCATCATTTTAATTAACCTGGTCAGTGAATGGTCAACCATTTAAATATGACTTCTAAGTAAGTATCTGGAAGACCTTTTAAAGCAAAGATCTGGTAGTACTTGTTTTTATATATTCAACTTAAAAGAAATTGCTGTCAACTGAACATTAATGCTCTAGAACAAAATCGTCAGTAGTTACTTGGCTTTCTGAAACCTAGGGTTTCAGAATTTAATGTAAAATTCCAACTTAGTCTGTGACGTGTCAATATAAGCACATAAAAGCTAGATCGACAGCCTGCCAAATATGTGGATATGTGATACTATAGGACTCTTTTGTTTTGCCTTGAAGTGAAATTTAGAAAGGTGGAAAGTAAGATAAATTGATGTAGCTCTTCAGCAATGCTTGAAATGAATGGAATATATCAGAGTTGTGCTTTTGGGTTGTGGGGTGTTTTGTTTGTTTGGGGCTGGGGGATTGTATTGTTTTGGGTTTTTTTTAAGAAAGCATGAGAAACAGAGGGAACAGAGTTGAAAGAGAATTGCTACATCAAAAAGTAAAGGCATGAAGAGATGGACACTGGTATTCCAATGGTGTAAATGTCAGTATCTGTGTAAGGGAAGGTAGCATATCTACCACTTTAAAAATAAGTGCATTAAGTTCGGGTTTTCCAGAAAAGAATCACTTCTTTTAGCAACATATGCAAACTGACTTTTTTGGGCCTTTGCCCTCCTGCTTCTGTTTTGTTTCTCCAAACATATGAAAGATATTAATGTTAAAAAGGATATAAAGCAATCCTGCTAGTTCTCAAATTCTGTTATTTGCTTAAGTCTTAAAAACAGCAGTTTCAAGATAATTGCCAGGTTCAGTTACAGTATAGCTTGTTTTTAGTTTTGCTTTTCTAGAAAATAAAAAGTTCTCAGCAGAATGGAAGCTAAAAAAAAAAAAAAGGAGGAGGGGAAATTGTAATTCTGTATAATGAAGCTTCATGGTTGACTTGTTTCTC